TTCATAGTTACTTATTTTAAATTTTATAAAATTATTTCATGCATGCAAATGATGTTTACATTGAAGATATCAATAATCATTACCTGAAACCTTCTAACCCTATTTGCGTTAAAAAGTTTCCAGCTTTTACAGAACAATTCTAAGCTTCTTGAAAAAAGGGAAGAAATAATAATTTCGAGATAAAACGGTGGTTGAAAGTAATCAACAGGAAACTTTGGACCTAGGTTTCGTACTACTTGGCACTCATCGGCAAGGTGTACCTGTGATCTTTAAGGAACTGATTCTCTCTGACGGATTCGATTCCATGTCACCCAGGTTTACAGTCGGAGTCATTACCGCCGGGCCATCCGAGCTGCGACTGACCTCCTGTATTGCTTTGAAGTCCGTTAGTGATTATAGATTTGACATTTGATGAAACACGTTACTAGATGAAGTTAAATATTCAGGGTAAGTTACGTAGATGTGAATTTGAGTGATCCTTTGATAACTATATATATTTGTAACATCTCATAACTATAGTACAGAAACTAAGAATAACTAAAAGCACCAGTGGATACTAAATCCCAGTTCCATTTTTTCCGTTAAACTGTCTATTATCGTTTATAATGTGTTAAGTATTCAATGTCATAAGCCGAATAACTTTGTTGACAAGTTAATTACTTTTGTTCAATCAAACTTCAAGCCCAACCTTTCTGTGTTTTATAAATAGTCACACTTTGAAATAGTTAAATAAATGTTCTCATAATACGAAAAGTTTTAAAATTTTACTCACAAAAATTTTCTTTGTATACTGAATTGTTCATTTTTGTTAATTTTCTAAGCACTTTCTTATCTATTTTGGGTGTGTCACTTGGGAGAAAATCTTTTAAAAAAATCCTTTCCTCTATTGAGGAGAAAAAGTTTAGAAAAATTTGCCCAGTAAACTTATGTTTGAAACTGGTTATTATCTGTAAAACAAATAACTTTTAATGAAATAATAATAATCTTGGCATTCACATGGTAACAATCAATTTTCGCCACAGAAACGTATTATATTATAATTAAAAAAAAGAAAAGATCAATATGAGCCAATAAGAAAAAGAATTTTACAGGGTTAATAATTCTTCTACAATTGTGATTGTAGCATAAAATTTGAACAGTAATTTAGGAAAGTAAACTATTTGACAAAGATTCATTAACCTATTCTGGTTAATTTAAATAATCAGAAAGGGTTTGTGGAGATTTTAGAAATTTCACAGATTGAAATCATGAATCAATTGAAGCTAGACCACCATGGAAAACCTGGAAGAACTGGACGGCCATTTTGTCATATCGCGGGACTCCTCGGCAGTGCGTATCCACGACCCCGCAACCCGCAAGACTAGAACTCAGGATCTATAAGTCTCGCGCCAAGCGCTTAACCAACTAGACCACTGAGCCGGCATCTAATAGTTTTAATACCTAACTCCAACCAATCCACGAAGTTGCGCCACCGTATACCATTGTCTTCAGTGAGCTAATATCGCACAACAGACCTGATTGAACTCCACTGGTAACGGCTTCTCACTAGAACTCCAGGAGTATCTCTTGAAGTCAGTTTTTAGTGAGCAAATGATTATTATCAGAAGGGATTTGTGGAGATTTTCGAAATTTCACAGATTGAAATTATGAGTCAATTGAAGCTAGATCACCATGGAAAACCTGGAAGAACTGGACGGCCGTTTCGCCTTAGTATGGGACTCTTCAGCAGTGCGCATCCACGATCCCGTGCCATTGGATGCCGGCTCAGTGATCTAGTTGCTAAGCGCTTGGCGCGAGACTGACAGTTCTTGAGTTCGAATTTCGCGGGGTGCGGGATTGTGGATGCGCGCTGCTGAGGAGTTCCATACTAAGGCGAAACCGCCGTCCAGTGCTACCAGGTTTTCCATGGTGGTATAGCTTCAACTGACTTATGATTTCAATCTGTATAATTTAAATAAGTTTATTTTATGAATTAGAAATATGAAATAACTGAAGTAAATAGAAATCTCTGGATCAAGATACAGTTTTTTTATTTTATGTTAATAATGACTGAATAACTTATTACAGCATCGAAATTGTAACATAAAGTACACCTAAACTAATGTTATAATGTTTTGAACAGATCATTCTCACATTTACCAATCTAGGAATCCTTTGTGTTAGAGTAACCAATACTCTTTTGACATGAATTATAGGATTCGTGACTTAACGTGTACTGATTCATGACACTGATAGTTACTAAGTAATCAATCAATATGAATATCTCAGCCACACACATAATTAGTTGTGGTCCAAATACCTTTCTGATAACGGCTCAAATTGTTAAGTTGGTTGATACAAGTTCAAATCACATGATAAGCACTAATCCCCTTAAGATAGCAGATATGTCTTTCTGACGAATATAAAATTGATCGACACCAAGGCTAAGAGCTTTCTATTGACTGCCTCTAAACATAATAGATATGATATCTAGTGAATTAGACCAGTAGACGTATTACAGCTTGGTCGATAGAATTTGACCAAAATTCACGATTAGGCAATTATAAAATTGGTTACTGCTCAGCGAACAGTCGGTATATGTTGTCATTTTATAGTCAGTGATTATAGACAGAGCAATCAATCCGAAAAAAACTCATATCATATTCAAAATGTCTATAGATTAATAAAATATCATGGTTTTATTATGCTGATTTGTCATTCAAATTCACTTACATTTGGACGCATATACTGACTAATCAAATAAACAATTACGTAATATATATGTATATATGTATAAGCATGTTAACCTAAGATGGATTATATTGTACGTGTACAAATGTAAAGACTAGTTATTGTAGTGATAAATATTGACTGATTTTATCACATATTGTAAAACGTATATGTAAGTATATTAGACAATGTGTACACCTTGAAAAGAAGAAATGAGATCGATAGTGGCATTAATTACTTTCAGTATTCACGCATATGCAAATTAAACAAATTGTTAATTATTCAACTATATTATTTAATATATGCATATTATGATAAGAAAATACATGTGAAAGGTCTCATTTCGTTGAATAGTTAATTTATTTTATTTAATAACGTAAAGATGGGACAAATTAAACTTTTTATAAGTGTGTGGTAAAAACGAGCATGAAATATTATGTAACCTCTGATGACGTAGAAAAATACAATCATATTTGCAACGAGGAACTATAGAAAACATCATATAATTTAACAATTGTCCCTAAAATACCATTCAAAACCTATTAAAACGAAAGCCTTTGACTTTGAATAACATGGATTGATGCTGTAGTTTTACGTTACCGCCATCATACATCGGAAAAAGTGTAACGAATCACGAATGGTTACACAGTTAAAACTTTCTACAAAATAACAAATACTTCAAAACACCTTAATTCGAATAAAGTTTAAAAAAACCGTTTTATATCTTTACAGAATCGTCTTTAAATGTTTAGTTCGACTAGAATGCCAGAAAATCCCAGCTCTGCAGTCTGGAAGTTAATTGTGACTGTAATCTCTGGCCTTCTCTTTTAGATTTTAGGTCATTGATTTGCACTGCTGAGGAGTCCTCCTCTTTGATAGAACACCTGTTCAGTGCTTTCAGATTTTCAAAGGTTGTTTTCTTTATATCCATTCGTCATTTCAATAAAATTATGAAAAGACGATGGAAATGGAAAAAACATACATTACCCAAACTATCAAACTACATCACGAGGCAAGCCCTAATTTGGAATTATGAAGGAAATAATAAAATAGGAAGACCAAAGAACACATTTCGTCTGGAAATAGAAGCAGATATGAAGATGAATAACAAATGGAAAGAGCTGGGATGGATTGCTCACGACAGGATTGGATGGAGAGTGCTGGTGGACGACCTATGCTCCTTCATGAGGAGCAACAAGAGTAAGTAAGCAATTTAAGTATCACAGATATATCAATATTCTGTTGAAATTATCAAGTCTCACCTTAATAATGTTTTTTAAACTGGATTTTTTTATAAGTGGTTAAAGCATGGCATTAAGCTTGACTTGCAAATCTATGGTCAAAGACAGAGATAGTGATTTTAGAAAACCCAAAATAATTCTACTTGTCATAATGATTCTTGCTTCATGATTCATTTTAATATTTTTAAAATGATGGAAAAAAAAATTACAACTCAGATGGATTTCATTGGTGTTTCCTAGTTCTTGGAGCAAGACAATCTATTTGTCATTATTGCATTATCGATATGGACAGCATTAATTTCATTTTGTAATTAAACATTAACTTTAAGATCTGAATAACACCAAATTAATGTAATATGTAAATTAGATGTACTCGTATATGAAGAAATATCTTTTTCATAAGTGTTAAATATACCACAAGATATATATTTATAATTTTGTTATAAACGATAGAATACTATAAACATTGTAAAACAGTGATTGACAATACTGAAGAATGAACAGACGAAATCTATTCATTGCATTACATGGGTAATATTCTTTAAAAAATGGTGTACACTTTTTGAATTTTAAGAAATGAACAAATGTGTTTACAAATTTTTGTTAAACAAGAAAAAAAGAGAAAATAAGACAAGAAAAACAAATAAAATTAATTATGATAACAAATAGAAATGAAATCGAAGAAAAAAATAAACAAAGTTTAACCTCATGATGATGATGATGATGATGATGGTGAGGGGGAGGAGGAGGAGGATGAAGAAGATGAACAAAAACAATCGTTCAGTAACTGAGACAACTGTCAATTAAAATATAATAATTATGTACAAAGATTATATTGAATGAAAAGAAAATATTGGTTTTAATGAATTATTTGCAACAATATTTATATTCTTAGAAAGGAAAAAAAACATACATACAAAATGATTGACGATTCGGAATGAAAGATAAAAAAGATATTTTATACATACAGAATACTGAATGGATCGTTATCTGAGTTTGATTTTCCTTTTCTTTTCTTTGGTTCGTTTTTCTTTCTTTCAGATTTTTTTTGAGATTCATTTTGATGATAAAATATTTCGTTTTGAACGTTGAAGAATAATTAATTGTTCTTTGGCTTTATCTAATGCTATGTCATTGAATTGATCTTCAAATCCATTAATTATACGATTAATTTGAGGATTATGTGGAAAATGGTGAAGGCTTATGATAAGAAAACAGAGAAAATACAAACAAAAAGGAATTTTATGGTGCAAATGCTTTTTGTAAAAAGTGAAATCGATATTTTATCGCAATGTCATATATTACTAATATTATTATATTAAATCGAAGCAAATGAACTAGAAATATACGCATAATTTATACTCAAATTTAAGTAGACCTAGTTTTATTATTACAATGGTATTCTGTAAAACTAATAGAATATCAACTGCTAAATTTGAAGCATAACTTAGAAAGAACTGAGTTTAAATGATCAAAACACATGTTTACTAAATGTAAACTACTCTTTGTTTAGTTGGTGAAACTATTACCGAATTTATTACAAGTTACGTTGCTTTAAATTCAGCTGGAGATTTTTTAGGGTAACTACTGGTATGAAGCCGTAGACAAAAATCATACTAAAAAATGCCAATCTGAAAAAATTATCTATAGTGTTAAAACTCCGTTCAGGGATTTGAAAGATCTTATGATGTAAGTCGAGATTTTGAGAAATCATAAGGTCGATAGCTCTCCTGACAACAAGATGGACTAATTAACATAGGTAAGTGTAATGTCCGCACATTGTGGAACACTGAAAGAGCCATTCAAGTAGCTGTAAAAATGCGAAGATATAACCTGCAGATCCTTAAAAATAAATGAATTCCATTAAAAACAAGCTGAATAGAAAGGATTGACTTAAAAAACGATACTGTTGTAAACCTGGTGACACAAAAAAATACAAGGATTTGCACTGATAACCTCTAAAGAATCACGGAGCGCACCTACAGAATTTTAATCTTGTGGTTTCAGTATTATCAAAGGAACCTTTGAAACAGAGAAAGGAATTAAAATGAATGCCCATCAACGATAGCTGTGGAGACGATAAAGATCGGTTTTATGAGAGGCTGCAGTTGACTGTGAAGGGATGTCCAGAAAATGAACTGATTATCCTGTTCGGAGACCTAAACATCAAGACTGGAATGGGAAATACGGGGTATGAAGATATAACTGGATGCAGCAATAACAGCGGGAAAAGGTGCTAGAGAATGAGACAACTATGTGATGGGACACAGCAGCTCTCAGGAAAACATATTAAACCAGATTGACTCATCAAACACATAGACCAGGATCAAGCTGCATACCAGCTGAAACACTGTGATCAGACATAGAGCTAACTGAAAAGACGCCTCACATTCTCTTCAGAAATATTTAGGAGGTAGAGAAAGTACCGACAAACTAGAAAAAAGGATACCTCATTAAAAAACCAGCGAAAGAAGATCCCATTGACTGTCAGAATTACAAAAACACCCTACTAGTATCATTATTAGACAAAGTATTGCTGAATCAAACGAAAGATTCAGTCGACACCAGGCGGCTGGATTTCGTAAGGATCGACCATGTACCAACAATATCGCGATATTACGGATTAGTAACAAAATGATTAGTTACTTAGAAACATCAAGGCAAAAGGAGAGAAGAAAGACCAAACAACACATTGCATCAGGAGGTGGAGACAGGAAAGAAACTAAGATAGAGCTGACTAGAGATTTCTGGTCAGCAGCTTATGCTCCACGATCAGTAGCAAGTGTAAACAAGTAACAGGTCTTCAGTAATGTTGTCTCCTGAAAGTAAAATATTTTATTCACACCAGTTGGTTGAAAGGATTTAATAGCAAGTCGTACTTACAATCTAGGATGAACTGATTTTCCATCTTTGATTTGAACTCTCTTTACCCAGTGTAAAATCCACTGAACTATTCATATTGATAAATGATTTTCTGTTAAATAACTATATTTTATGCTTTTAAGTCATGGTTAAATAATAATTTCTTGTGAATATTACGCTTTCATTTAACCACCTGAAACTTATCTTCATGTTATTGACTTACTGTATCACGTCTCCCCTAGTCAAAAAAAATAACGTAGTATAAATTCTGTTTTATTTTGTACATTTTCACAAGCTACTTACAAATTTTATCGAATTAATCAAATGTCTTGATTGGATCTGATAATCGTAACAATATATATTATAATGTTTTAAATCATAATATTATCCTTCAGTACAATAAAAGAATATAATTAGTTCCTGTGATCTTGTAGATATGTGATTTTCATCAACAGCTGCTATCTTTTTTTAATTATTAAAGAAATTTTAATTCTAATATCCAAAACTAATTAGGGATTTGTCATTGTTCCTGGTAGTGATTAGATTCAGTATGATAACATTTAGTTTTTACAGATCTGTTAAAATTATTTGTGCTGTGAAAGTTAACTCACCATTTAGTCGTCATCTGATTAACAAATTAACTAAATACGAGCACAAATTTTTATATTCAATGATTTACTATACTTTCCCTTCTAATATGACAATCAGACACACTTGTATGTGAAATAGAAGAGTGAAATGTCTTTGAGAAATTTTCACAGAAACAAACTATTTCGTCATACGTATAAAAATCACTTTGAATGATAACTTTAATGTATGTTTTATACTCAAGAAAATACAGTTGAATTCCATCATACGAGAGTCTTTCGGATAATTGTAGTACAATCAATTGAATGGAATTCATCACTCTACATCAACTTCATTGATTACGAAAAAGCATTTGACAGCGTGGACAGAACAACACTATGGAAGTTTCTTCGACAATATGGCGTGCCTCAGAACATAGTCAATATCATACGGAATTCATATGATGGATTACACTGAAAAATCGTGCATGGAGGACAGTTGACAAAGTCGTTCGAAATAAAGACCGGTATCTGGCAAGGTTTCTTACTCTCACCCTTTCTCTTTCTCCTGGTGATCGACTGGATCATGAACACGTCAATATCTGGGGAGAAGCACGAGATACAGTGGACATCTAGGATGCATTTGGACGATTTAGACTTCGCAGATGATCTGGCCCTTCTATCCCAAACCCAACAACAAATGCAGTAGGAAACGACCAGTGTAGCAGCAGCCTCAGGAGCAGCAGTAGGTCTCAATATACACAAAAGGAAAAGCAAGATTCCCCGATACAACACAGCATGATGCACCAATCCAATCAAAATTGACGAAGACGATTTCGAAGATGTAAAAACCTTTACATATCTGGGCAGCATCATTGATGTACAGGGTGGATCTGATGCAGATGTGAAGGTGCGAATCGGCAAAGCAAGAGCAGCACATTTACAATTGAAGAACATCTGGAACTCAAAACAACTGTCGACCAACACCAAAATCTGAATTTTCAATACAAATGTCAAGACAATTCTACTGTATGGGGTAGAAACCTGGAGAACTACGAAAGCCATCATCCAGAAAATACAGGTGTTTATTAACAGTTGTCTACGCAAAATACTTCGGATCCATTGGCCAGACGCTATCAGCAAAAACCTTGAGGAGAGCACTCAACTGCCTTACAAGGCAGGCTCTCGTTTGAAATCCTCAAGGCCAGAGGAAAAGAGGGAGACCAAAGAGTACATTACGTCGAGAAATGGAGACAGAGATGAGAAGAATGAGCAATAGGTGTATAGAAGTAGAAATGCATGCCCATGACAGAGTGGGTTGGAGAATGCTGGTCGGTGGCATATGCTCCATTGGGAGTATCAGACGTAAGTAAGTAAGTAAATAACTATATGAGAGTCTTTTCATAGTTAAATATCTCAGTTGAACATACGTTATTCTTCAAGAGAATGTTATTCTTGGGATATAGTCTTTCATAAGATGGTGCAATCATCCGGCTGCAAACAGCGAAATGAGTGCTTAGTGTTTTGAGTCATCAATTACATTAAATACTACCCTACTATTACATTCAAATATATTCTATGAAGGACACAAATTTTAAACAACAAAAATATGCACTATCTTCTACGAGAAAGTAAAATAATTAACTTTTCTTAAGAATTCGCTTACTTTTCAACAGATCCTTCTTTTCGTTTTATAAAATAACCAAGTACCATATAGTGTTTCCAACACCTCCAAACATTAATCATATCAGTTGAATTTGTATTCAGCGATGTAGTTATCACTTTAAGTGGTTTAAACACTTGGTGGGAAGAATCATCATGTTCTCTGATAGATTCAATATCATGTTCTATTTTATCATTTTTAGACAATGTTGTTGTTGGTGAAGTTGACAGGTGAATTGGATTGCCAATATGTAGATGAATTAGTTGTTGAAATATTAATCCTAAATAGGGCAAACACGGTAATGCGGATGTTTCCAAGTCTCGTCGATATTCACCGAAATTCGGAGGTTTCATATAGGATGAAAAACCAGCAACCAACTGAAAATTTTAAAATTGAAGCAATATGAGGTATTTTTTCGTGGAATCAAAAGTACTACTTCAACCTAATAAGTAGCATACAAATATAATTCCATAAATATAATGTCACTGTAAAGTAATTCACTTTTCCAGATAGTTGAAACACAGTGGTTGGATAAATTCTACTGATTAAATTTGTCTATCAACGTTTCAACAGTACTTAATAAGTTATTGTACTTCATTGTTCGTTATCGCCCTACAGATTTATGAGTCAACTGTTTCCTTTATTCACATTCAAATAGAAGTAGCCACTTCATATTAAATCCTCTTTTATTTGAAGAGTGAATAATATTGAAACCAATAGTCGTTTTACCAAGTTCCTAATTACATTTAACATACCATTGGTGTTAATTTTTAATACCTTATAGCCGGTTCAAGATTCAAGCGAAATCACATAAACTATCCAAGTATATTTGAAAAACAGCTACTGTATTTGCAGAATTGGTTCATGAAATTATTGGTTTAGATGGTTAACTCTACTTCATATTCTGCAAGATTTGAATTTGACTGTATTGTCTTCAAATGCTAAATGCTAATTGTCGTTAATTGATTTGCTTAATTACTATTTGTTAACTAATTATGTATAAAAGATAAATTTATGTCAAAAACTGTTTCTGCCTACGTGTTTAACAACGTTTACATTTTAAAAATCGGTGAGACCATAATTTATGGACGGACGTTTAGCAATGCTAAAATAATCTTGAGAACACTCACCTAGTTACTAGGGTTAAACGAGAGTTAGAAAAAACTGCAGTCAAACATCAGGCTAAGAAATTGAATTTAATGTTTTGTTCACAAATCAACATCAGCCATAATGCTAAAATGCTATTTAACCAAACGGATTAATGAATTCTGCACTAAAATCTAAGATCTGTTATCTTAAATTTGATTGGTTCGTCCATAAATTTTAGTCGCACTTAAAAGTCGATTGTGAATTTAAACTTACTTGTTTTGATTTCTTAGAAAGGAGACATTCAGGTAATTCTTGAATAGCCAACAATAATGCAAGGAATGAACTAAAATTGTGTAATTGTTTCAGGTGCTAAAAAGTTTTAGAAAATTTTTAGAAAAATGAATTTAAGTAGTATAAGATACTACAAGAAAATCACGTAGTCCGAATTCGAAAAATAGTATCATTAAGTATCTTGATGAATGTCTCATCCGATAATGATTGATTGAGGTCCATGATATAAAATGAACAATGATGTATACACTATTGACTAAGAATGCTATTTTTTGCATATAACTTTCAAACACAAGCTAGTTAACTGGTATTGCTTCCCTTATACACTTATAGTTCAGCATGAAATTTGTTTTGAAAATGCTTTATATAGTTCGGTTGCCACATTCGGTTAAAATTCATGGCGAGGATATACAAATAGTATATTCAAATATCGAACTGATAATTCGTTAATTGTGAAAAACCATTCAACTAGTGTTCGTGATCAATAGCTCTATTGGTTTGATAAAACCATAGGCTTTCTTTAACAAACTATTTAATAAAATGGCCTCAGTACAATGGAAGATGGTCACGCAATTTCGTGGATTGTTTGGGGTTAGATATTAACGCCATTGGATACCGTCACAGTGGTCTAGTTACACAAGCGCCTGGCGCGAGACTGATAGATCCTGGGTTCAAATCTCGCGGGGTGCGGGATCGTGGATGCGCACTGCTGGGGAGTCCCACAATAGAACGAAACGGCCGTTCAGTGCCTCCAGGTTTTCCATGGTGGTCTAGCTTCAATTGACTCATGATTTTAATCAAAAACTGACTTTCATCAAAATTTAGTTAAAAGAAAGTCTTTTTTCGGTCTACTATTTAAGTAGTTTTTGAGATTTTATTATTGTCATGTTAGAACAGACGGACCATTAAACATTTTTCGGATAATGATTGCTCGGTCTAATATTTTCCGATTATTCTTTCTGGCATTAAACACATTTATTCTTCAAGAAGGGTAGTGTTGATGAATGAAAAATAAATTATGTTGACAGTTAAATTTCCTCTTGAAATACTTTTAGATTATGCATAAAACTAATTCCTTTCAATAAAAATTAAGAACTGCCTTATTCTCTTTTCTATGAAAACACTTCAAATAATTCATGATGATACATATGATACATATTTTCGTAGTATCTAGAAAACATATTTCACATTATTTAAGATTTTCCAGCATAGTGTATCTGTTTATTCAGGTATTTGAATTCACCACTTATCTCTTCAAATGCTATTAGGTTATCCACTATGATAAGTAGTCAAGATAGCTAACAAATTATTCAACAGTTCTTGGCTTTTCTAGAAGTTTTCATTCTACCACTTGTTAATATTCACTGTTGACAGTTACCAAAAGAGATTATAAACTTCCAATTACAATCTTTATCGAAACATCTACTAGAAAAGTCAATATATCAACAGTGGATAACAGGATTCAGCCCTACATACCAACAATATAAAAATTACAAACTCTAAACAATAATGGTAAAGTTCCAACGACTATAGTAACAATCTTAGATGCTTTCTAAAAAATAAATCAATGATCGTAAACCATTAAGCTTTAGTTGCCAAGTGTTTACAATTAAAACTATAACTAACCTTTAAAATTTCGCATAGTTTCTGTAACATAATATTGACAGCAACAATTCTCTTTGTTAAAATACTTTTATGGTGTATTAATGAATTTGATTTTATAAAATCTTCATCTGTGGATTTGACATTGTTTGTTAATTCTACATCAGATTGTGAATCATATACTCTATTGTTTAATTTGTTTTTATTTTTAATATTTGGAACAATTAGAGAAGAACAGGTATGACGACTACGTAAATTATCAAACAATGATTTACCACTTGCGCTTTTTATTTGATGATTTGATAAATTTACTAAAGAATATTTCTCAATTATTTTTGGTGCTATGATAAGTAGCATTCCTTTAGCCCAACGTGTCATTTGATTGAAATGTTCAACACATCTACCTAATGTTTGAGCTTCACCTTTTTCTAAATGTTGAATATCTAGTAGTTCATGAAACTGAAATGTTTAAAAAAAAATGTACAAATTCAGTTTTCAGTAACCATGTTAACATTGAACTAAATAAGTTATTAAAATTTTGAAATAACTCAAACATTTATCACTTCCTGTATGTAAATCAATAACAGAAAAGAATAGGTGAATACTGGGTAATTTGAAGGCTAAACTTCTTGACCAACATTAAGTTCACTAATGAATGAGATATTAAGCTATTCTGATAACTAGGTGTTTATTTCACCTCAGTAACAGATTGTTCGCATCATTTTACAAAACAGTATTGATGTGGTCTGGGTTACTTATATCCACACAAGTAGTATATAACGGTGGTCAGGCATAGAATGTATTTCAGTAGAAGGTCGATAAGGAAAGAACGGGAATGGAACGCAATAGGTATGAAAACAGATGAACAGTGAAGTTTGAGATGATGGGTTGATATTTTTGCGAATTAACGATTTACCATATTGTTTTGGTTTTATGACCGCTATTTATCACCGCCAATCATAATATGACTTATTCGCCCTTGTACTCTATTGAACCAATGACGTCCGTTCGGTTTGATCAGTCTAGCATCCTATCGGTCCGTTGCTCGCCTAACCCATCCAGATAAGTCCAGAATGCCAACAACAGACTCCACTATGCGAATTATTTATTTCAGACATACTGAGTTTATATACCTAACAAACAGACCGCGACGCAGCATAAAATAGAAAATAACACTCGTACAAAATATAGCCAAAAGTGGCTGTGAACGTGGGAGGCAGTAGTCAATAAACTGAGCATAGCTTAAGAACAGTAAATCGTACAACAATAATATATAAATTAAAATAAAGCTTATAACAAGGGGAATATAGATATACATAATCTAGTTACTGAATATTTATAGCATAAGAATATATAAACAATATTAGTTCATTAATATGTCTCAGACGTTACTCGTAATGTAATCTTCCCTAGGATATAACACATATGGTTCTCAAATTTTATTGAGATGCTCTGTAATTCTGTGGTCAAATACATTCGATTGTCGCCAATCGTGTCCTTGTTCACTAAATTACTACATCTCCATTCATTAATTCTATATTCATAATTATATTCATAATTCATTCCTAAATACATCGATCTAGCTTTTGATTGCGTATATTTAACTCTTCAGTAATGTATACAAGATTATTATGTACAATTTTCAGTAGATTAAGTTTAATCAAATCAATGGCACCGGTTATAATCAATAATATGATCTTATGAATTGAATGATATGATTAAACTTATGAGATAAACACTGAAAATTTCGTCTTATTATTCATAATTTGGTTTACTAATTATGAAAGATATAAATGAATCATTTTGTGTGTGTGTGTGTGTGTGAAATTAAGCTTAATCTTGAAATATTTCATTATTTCAAGATATCATGGAAATTCTATCCCTTAGATATACTACTCACATCAATTTGAGAGAATTTTTCTTCTTCAATTTGAGTTATTTCTTCTGCAATTAATCGTGCATCACATTCAAGGAATTCGTGACCTCTACAAAAATATTGCATAAAAATATTTTAAAAAATGCGCAACGATTAAAAGATATCAGATGGGTTTTGTGGATATTATAGTAATTTCAATGGTTAAGATCATGAGTCAGTTGAAGCTAAACCACCATGGAAAACCTGGAAGTTAGACATTAACACCGTTGGATGCCGGTTCAGTGGCCTAGTGGCTAAGTGCTCGCGCGCGAAACCAGTAGGTCCTGGTTTCGAATCTCGCAGGGGGCGAGGTCGCGGATAAGCACTGCTGAGGAGTCTCACAATAGGACGAAACGACCGTGCAGTGCTTCCAGGTTTTCCATGGTGGTCTAGCTTCAGCTGACTCACGATCTTAACCATTGAAATTAAAAGATGCACAAAAGAACTTTTGGAGTGACTATAGAATAGTTCTTAACACTGTGTCGCTTCATCAGAGCTATAACAAATTTTATCATTAGTTGGTAAAATGAAAAAAATATAACAGAATATCATTACTTCGTGTCATAGTCATTTTGTTAAAAATTACTCATCAATGCAAGAGCAGTTACATAATCTAAATGCAATACGTTGTTTATGTAATAATATTGACATACCTGATGGAGAAAACAATTAAGTACATATGGAATTGATAATTAATTCTTATCTGAACTTATCACCCGTTCTCTGCAATTCGATCTTCTCAATCTCCTTTTGGTGCTACATACTACTTATGTCGATAGACAATAAGTAGCATATACCACGAATGGTTTTGTAAAAACTAGTATACCTAATGCAGTTGAGGTTTAAGTCAATAACGAAACTGACTTATGTGATCTGATTTTGAATCAATTGTATGTTATATATATATATTGTACACACGAAGAATGTTTTGCCAAAGAATAATACATCGTTTTGTTAACTTTATAGAACTTTCCTGAGAAAGGTTCTCAGAGATTCTAAATATTCCAGTTTTGCATTATTTGGCATCAAATGAAATAATGAGTGTTTAAATTCATTTTAAACCCGAATACATTACTTTGTGTTAAAAGAAGCATAGAACAATACGTTCATCACAGCATACCTTAATGTTCATCTGAATATGAAAATCTATTTACTTTAATAGAGTTTGAGTAAATCATGCTAAACTCAAGTGAAGGGCTATAGTGAAGCAAAGTTTATTTTAAACCAACTAATGTCTCTATATTGCCTTACTTTCATTTCTTTTGCAATCTAAACTTATCTTTTGTTTAACCAATTTCTTCTGCATCGACAGTCCTGACTCATCCAAATCAATGGCTACAAACGGTTACCTGTTAATGAAATGTGTACGAAGTAAATATTCTAAATGTTGTCGATTTCATTTTCTGTGAGTTAATGTAAATTGGAAGAACTAGATAGAAAATTTAGTCGTTAATATATTCCATATTTCAGAAAATGGACCTCGAGATCATCATGACTATGAATGTGACATTAATTTGTTTATTCAGCGATTGTGCTCCATATTAGATCGTTAGATTAACTTAAGTCATTGATATTCAGCTTTCTTGATGTTTTAGTAAGCATTATAGACAAATCAGTACAAAATGACACGATGACGTGAGTTAAAATGTTCATTTGGAACAAGAGTTAGTGAATATAGAAAATCAAATTTCACAATTTAATGGACGATACAGGTGTAAATCTACACTTCACTAAGTACCTTCCAAGTCAAACTGTCGGAGATTTCATCACACAGCTGGATGGAGATCTCAATGCATAGATTCAATGTCACTTATATTATTCGTTCGTTTTCAACTGAATAACAGCGGTAAATTTTCATTGCTCTCATGATCTAATTTTGTTCATTACAAGGAAATCATTCATATATATAACATACCTTACTATGGCATCTTCTTGAGGTTCACAAATGCACATTTTACTATCTGTATTTACCAAAGCTGAATAGTGTACAGAATTATAATTGTTTATTCCATCTAAGTTTGTATTATTTTGTCCAGTTAATGAATTATTGATAACTAACGGTTGTTTTAACCATGAATTATTGGACTCAGTTTTATTTACCGTTGGATTTCTTATCGTCGAAATGTAATCAACATTGTCATTATTTATATTGTTTAATTTGTTTGAATAATTTGTCAATTTCTGTATTGATGATAGAATTGGTAGTTTTTCTAGTAATCGATCAGCAAGTACACGATGTGGTTCATCTAAAATTTGATTATCATTTGTAATCAGTTGATTATCATACATAAGAAGACGTGCAAATCGATTAAGCTTGAGAATTAATGAAGCAGTCAATTGTTTTGGATGAATATCTTTAGCCTACAATAAATAATCAAGGAAAAATATGTTAACAGAAATCCAATCACATTTTAATGTGGTTATATCCTACTTTTAACATTTACATATGTCTTGAAATTCAACATCACTTTTGAGAAATTATCTAAACATTTAAAATATTTATATTAGAATACGAACTTAGAATGGTTGAATAGGAATGTGATTTCCATTATACTAGATCATTCAAAAATTAACATGACTCGTACATAAGTTCACAATGTATTCACAAAATATTTTGATTGGGACTTGTACACCAGGATAAAAAAACATAATACAGTAAGAGAAAAGCATAAAACAGGGTGGGAAAGAAATTTAATTTACTAAAACTGGTTACCCCTCTATGAGGTGTAACAGGCGTTAGTAAGTAATTGAGTAATGTAAATCATGTACTAGTTATAAAAATTTTATAAGATAAAAATGAGTTCATATTATTCAGTGAAATTGTTGTTTCAAGTTTTTGGCTCAGGTTGATGAAGTGAACTAAACGTTCAGTTTGAATCACGCTTAACATAGGGAGACTAATTTGGAATGTTTGGAAGAACATCTTTTCCCATTAGTTTTCTTCAACGAGTCTAACAATATGATCATTATATTCCCGGTCAACTAGGTCAAGTCAGCCAAAGATTGGAAAGACTTTCTACTAACGCCCTTATATGTTTGGTCCTACGTTTCCCCTTTCTTGAACATACATTTAATTTTCGTAGTTCAAATTACAAACGGGTCTTAGTTTAACTAACACTAAAAACTAGGAGTATCTCTTAATCGTTCGTTATTAAAAATCACCGTAGATGGTTTAAAATCAAAGATTCCTAATCGATGAAACTAAACATAAGGTAACTGAAAACAATTATTGTCCCAAAGTTTCTTTATTCAGTGGTAGTTATATTCTAATTGCTCAACTAAGCGAACTTAATTAGGAAAACTATCATTACTTAAATATTACTAACTGACTTATAATTCGAAGCTACACTGTTGGTCAGATAATAAAACAACGTCATCTCTGAACTTCAAAGATCAGTTGAAAGATGTGGTTTATCTAAGGTCTCTTCATCATGATATGAAATATAAAATCTGCTCAACAAATACATATGATTGATAACATTTATTGAAAATCAGGAATCATCAGATAACTGTCTTATCCTTTCATTGAACTTAGCAGCACGTTTCAATGACTTATTCAGGGATCACCAATAAGACTATCTGTTTTCATAGTGTGTTAAAAAAGTGAATCTATAAATTCCAACTCAATGATATATACTTTCAGGCGCATGTCTTAACATTTAGACGTCTTGTACTCTATCCTTGAAGGGTTTATGAGTTACAACTTATAAATATGTGTCTAATGTGATGAAAAGGCTATCTAATGGAATCTCAATTTATGAAGAAAACCACTTACAAACTAAACTTATCATCTAGAAACCTCTCAATCAAAATATCATCAAATGTTCACATCATGTTTAGTTTGCCTAGATCAATTAATTAATTGTTAAACATTTTATTCAATACCATATGTTTTGTAGTAGAGATGAATTCACAGTTAAAATACATTATGTTTCAACGAATTCTCCACTAATATTTATTCATCAAGTTACTATCTAAATTATATGTGAAAAACATTGTTTCATTAAAGTAGTTAGTTTCCATCTTCGTCAGCTAGGTCTATAAAACTGATTTTGCTTTTTTTTTCACAAGTGTTTTTCATTGCATAACATACTTAATGTACGAAAAATTTCATGAAGAAGAAAATATGTAAAACAACTATGATGTCTCCGTTTGAATTGAACACTAATTATATTTATAAAAGTTCTACAGTTTATCAAGTGGTTTACAAGTGTAATTAATCAGTTAAAATAAATCTAAAACAAAACAAAAAAAAACTTGGAAAATTTTTGAACTTGAAGAAGCGATGCTTCAGGCATGTTAATAATCTGACTTATTTTATGTTTTAGTGTGGCTCTTCATTTTGATGCTAATTAGATCGCACGATGATGTTATCGACAGGATTCACCACTTTTAGTGAACCTTGTATCTGATTTCAATTGGATCGTATGAATCATTTTTGTTGAAATATACATCACTGCTATCCTCGTATATAGTCATCAACTTTAATTGCGTTAGTGAATAACGGAATTAGATAAGTCAAATACGAGAGTGAAATTTTGAATACGGATATTATGTGCATTTATTAATCTGAACAGATAATCAGTAAAACGAAGCAAATGAAGTAGAGAGGAGAGAGTGAAGAAAAGAAAATGTCACACACTGAAGAAGGCGAGTGAGTCAACTCGATTTAACCAGGACTGACTTGATATTTATAGTCAGACAAAAATAGGTTACAGATATGTTGTTAGTAGGGTAAAGGATTAACACATACGCTTATACAAAAACAGTCAGGGTTAATAAGTAAATAATTGACAAGTTCAAAATGTGACTCAAGAAGAATAAAAAACTGGTCTATGTGGAAGCTAGAATAACTTATGTGGACTTGATATAGTATGGTGTGTGCTACTGATGTTAACAGATATAAGTATTATGTATCACCAATCGAAAGTGGGATGATTGGCATCAGAAGATTGAGAAAGTCAAAGAGAAGAAAACGAGAATAGGGAGTGATTGGTATGGAAACGAAAGTACAACATAGTCTGAATATTTTGTAAATCAAGTATTAATATATGGTTCTTAGATTTTACCAAGATATTCTGTAATGTTGCGTTAAAACACATTTGGTTGTCTCCACCTGTGTTCTTGTTCACTACAACAGTATCAGCCACTACAATGTTATCGAAGTTATTAATTGACAATTCTTGAGATAGGCTAACAAAACGTTTACATCCAAACGCCGAATACTATATATATACTTATGTAATTATGAAAATAAATCAAAATAAACTTACAATACTAACTAAATAATCTGCAGCAGCTAAAGAGTCAATCCAATCATTACTTTGACAACCTGGTTCAACAGGAGCATATGCAACATAAATTTGGATTAAACGTTCAATTATTTTATCAGGACTTGTAAATGTTGGATAAGTTAAACGAATTACATCAGGAAATAAATAATCTGGATGACTAGCTAAAAGTAAATCATAGTTATGAATAATATTTAAATACATGAAAGTTAATATTACGTTTTAAACAATTTTATTATTAGTTTAATAAATTTAATTGACTACGAATATAAAGTACAAGGAATTCTATATTACTGAATGACAATACATATGGCTATTTAATTTAACTCCTATTTAAAACAATCAGTCCCTTTGACAAGTTTCCTCAATTCAATCCTGATAATCTTTATCTTTTCATTGCATAATGGAAATTAACTGTTATTAAAGAATGAACATACAATAGCTGAAGGATTTACTAGTAGTTCTGGCTTTGTAAGATAATATATGAATTTAGTGGATAGTTATTGACGGTAAATAATTAACACAACCTGTTCATGTGTATGATGAGGATCATGATGATTGTGTGTTATTCACAGCTGAAATCTGAATCGTTCCTTACTTTTATAATATGTATGTTTTATTCTAATGAATATGTTTCTTTTAAGTGTATTATGAATAAACTATTTCTTAGGTAGCATACTTAGGGAAAACGGTCTAAATAATAGGCATTAAATTTTTATCCGTGTTCATCATTACATTTATCTGTTATTGAAGATGTCTGCTAACTTTTATTCCTGATGTCACGAAGAAACCTTGAAACTAGACTTAGTACAAGCTGAAACTCATCGGTAAGCCGTACCTGGAAACTAAGGGTTCAAATCCCACATGAATCTTTAGTTCCATCAAAGTCACATGTGAGAGTTGCTGGCGAGTACTAACTAAAACGAAACCTAGGTCTGGAGTTTCCTCCTGACTAGTTACAATCATCTAAAATCTAAAAGTAGTGTGTTCGATGTTGAGTCATGTAGGCTAGAAGACACATTGAGACTTGATGCACAAAGTTTGATCAGCACCGATGGACCAGAAAAGGATGACATTAGTCGCTAGTGTGTTGCCAACCAATTATTTCTTTGTTGATATTTGATTATTTAAATAATTTAATGAACCCAACGTGATTGGACCACAAATTGAAAAACGATTTCACGAAGCACGTTTAAAATATGCAAGAGTAATTAATCGAACATGTGACCTCAGTGCTAATCAAAAATAGTGACAATTTAATATTCCCCATGTAAACACTTGTTGGTAATGGTATTCTTTCTTTAATTGCCACAATTTCATTTTCAGTTTGTAATTATCGATATTTTAAGACGTCTATGAATATCTCTGAATTCTCATACATTTTATCACGCACTGAGCTTGGTTTAGTAACCACTGAAGAATAAGAATCGCTGGGAAGCTGTTTCTCTCTAGTATGGGACTCCATAGCAGTAGAGATAGTTATCTACCACAGACAATGGAAGATGGTTTAGACACGCACGTCAATTTAAAGTATTTAAAAACGCAGTTTCTTTCCATACAATGAAGACGCGAAAATTCACGTCTATACAGAATTCTAGATACAGGATAGATTATAATGTGTTTAGTACTAATATTAGAGTCATAATACATTGGTGGAAAACTACAAATCATGAAAAAGCCTTGTTAAAAGATTAGTATACAGAGATTTTTTGGCCTAAAGGCAAGTCCTTAACTTCATATGTAGTTGTTTGATTTTATCCTGTCAATAAGTCTTTCTGTTATTTGAACATAACATTCCTGGTCTTCGTCACTAGACGAAATGAAAACACTGGAAATTGGAAAACGAAATAGTGATTACTAAACTGTAGTTTTAAGTGACATTTTGACTTTTTGCGGTAAAACTGAGTTTTATTATTTCCAATTTTATTTGTTGATGTTCTCCTTTAACTGTGCAAACAAAATATTTATGTTAATTTAAATAACCTTAATTGGTATTTCTTTAAGACCTATATTGTTTATTTTATTTTGCTTACTTGGTTACTGATAGGAGAAAAAGTAGTAAAAATCAAAATGTAATCATGTCAAGAACTATTCGTTTAAACAACATATTACAATGATTCGGTACAATTATTAGATAAAGACCGATTTCTACTGTACCTGGGCTCATCTGTAGAGGTTCTGTACTCAGACGTTTGCTAATTTTTGTGGTTATTATCAGAGGATCTTGGAAACAGATTTGTTAGTTATGCAGATAATAATTTTTTAGTTTGTGATATTACGTTGTTTGAAATAGGTAAATTTTTCGCACATGAGAGTCATAACTTAATAATCTAGTTATTTAGCGAAAACCAGATTAATGTTTCGTGTTGATGTAGCAATGGTAGAAAATATGATAACGATTGATTTGCTCTACATTTCATGATAAACTAAAGGATCTATGTACGTAAATACTCCATAATTTGTGCTTAGATCACTCCTGAAACAGCATTTTGCAAATAAAGCAACAAAAATGTGCTTTAATTTCTTCATAAATCGATGATAGCGTTCATAATACTCTGTGTTTAGTGTCTTTATCAAACAAAGTTACATCTCCGTTATGATTTTAACCGATGACGAAGTCTAAAGAATCATATGAAAGAAAAACTCAGGAAAATCTGTTTGATATGATAATTTTCTGTGTATATGACAAACGGAATCATGCATTCGAGCCTGGGTTTTAACAACTTTAAGTGATAACGAAGACTTATATTCTTTTTTCTAGTATCATTGATATTGAAAATCCCTTTGGTTATTCTATTCTTCTATTATTACGGTGAAAAACTGACTTTTTTCTCATGAAACAGTTAGTATTACAGTAAACTACTGTGAACCACAGCGTTTTGTGTATGAGATGGAGCGACGATCAATTCTCATATTTCTTTGTAGTATAATGATCACCATTTTGTTTGTGTAAACGTTTATGCTTGATCACATGACAGTCCATGCACATATCAGTCAGTCAGTCAGCTACAACGTAGGACCAGGCACATATATGCATCGGCCCAAGACGCCATACTTCATTAACACAACAAGATGGACACCGGATTCGTAAAAGCAGTTAATTCAGAGGTGGTAATATATAAAAGAAAGATTGCAATAAGGATATAGTACAGGAAGAAAGAATTAGTTCGTATAAAGAAAGATATAAAGCGATTTTAGTCTCTTGGTTTAAGGGAAGACAGAGAGTGTATACACCTACACCACTGTGATCGATTCTGAGCCATGTCACCAAGAGTCTCCAACCATTGGTTACGATAGTCACGCGGACCCCAACCAAGTAGTCTGCATCTACCAACATGGCTCAGACTAGAATTTAGTGACTTTATGGACTGATGCCACGTTTTGGTTTGGTCGCACCTAACTTTCTTCCAACCATCCCGAACACCAGTTAGCATTGCACGTCGTGGTAATCGGTATTCAGCCATACGTAACACGTGGCCTAACCATCTCAGTCGATGAACATTCACAACCTCACCAACTGATTTACCATCATTCCCTAATATCCTGCGTCGAACCTCACTATTACTTACCCGGTGATCCCAGCAGACGCCAGCAATATTTCTAAGGCATCTGTGGTCAAATACTAGTAGACTACGAGTGTCTTCTACCCTTAATGACCGTGTTTCGCTGTCGTAAATTAAAACAGAACGGACTGCCGCACAGTATACTCGTTTATTTATTGATAGACGGATATCTCACCTTCGCCATAGGTGACGTAAGTTGGTAAAAGCCAAGCGAGCTTTTCGGATCAGTGCTGAGATTTCATCAGACACCAACCCATTACAGCTGATCAGACTTCCAAGATAAGTGAAGTTGTCAACGCGTTCGACTACTTCACTCCCTATCCTTAGTTCAGGTGTTGACGCAGACCAGTCCTGAAGCAGCAGCTTGCATTCAGAGGGAGAGAAGCGCGTTCCAAACATTCTGGTATCGTTGCTTAGTGCTGCCAGAAGACTCTGCATTTTGTCAGCGTCTTCACCAAACAGGACTATATCATCTGCGTATTCTAAGTCGATAAGTGGACCTCCTGGGAGGAGATCGATTCCCGAGAATTCAGTCGACGAGAACGTTGTTTCCATCAGCAGGTCTATGATGACGTTAAACATAAATGGGGAAAGTGGCCAGCCTTGACGTACACCACTTGAGGTTGCAAAAGTAGATGACAGTTCGCCATAAGCTCTGACTCGACTAGTAGTGTTCGAGTAAAAAGCCTTCACAAGGTTTATTTACTTCTGAGGTACGCCTTTTAATGACAGACACTGCCACAGAATCTCGCGGTCTACAGAGTTAAATGATGCTTTTAAGTCAAGAAAGACCACCATTGTCAGTCGACGATAAGTATGCCTGTGTTCTAGAACCTGACGAATGGTGAATATGTGGTCGATGCAGCCACGACCAGGTCTGAAGCCAGCTTGATTCTCACGTGTTTGCAGTTCACGAGTCTTAATTAGGCGTTTGATAATTATCGAGGCTAGTATTTTAGATGCTATATTAGTCAAACTAATCCCTCTGTGGTTGTCACAAGATGATTCTGACCCTCTCTTATATATTGGGACGATCAGTGATTGCAACCAGTCAGATGGGATAACGTCCAACTCCCAGATTTTAGCTAAAATATTAGTCAATCTAATCGCTGAAATTGGACCACCATCCTTAAAGACCTCTGGAGCCAATCCATCTGGACCAGCTGCCCTTCCTCGTTTCAGATTAACTATAGCCTTTTGAACTTCTGCTAGAGTTGGGGGACCTACTTCAATGTTCCATTCACATTGTCTGGGAATGAAGGGTAGTTGTAGAGTAGCTGAAGGCCACATATCTCTCTAGCCTAAATATCGCTTGATGAATCATTCTCTTTCCCATGGTATGTATGTACTCAAATCCTATTGTTAGCCTTCGCCTTGTCTCGCTGCCCCTTATTCCGTTTGACTTAAACCTTGCCTCTGTAATTGTTCGCATACACACACATTCGCCTCTCTGCTTGAAACTCGCTCGATATACTTATAAATTTGGAGTCTGTGCTATCCGCTAATAAACTCTAGATGCTACTTCCTATTGCCTTGTTATTTCAAACACCATTGAGATTTATATAATAAAGTTTACGAAGGTAATTAATTAACGGAGCATAGCCACTACAAGGTCACCAATATGAGTAAATCAATTCCTTTCTAACCTTTGACCTTTCTATTACGAGTATATTTCCGTATGTTTGAGGTCATTATTTTATTTCGAATTGAATTAACTGTATCATTCATGATTTTGAAATTGGAATAGAATCACATTATTTTTTTTGTTTTGCACATCTGTAAACTTGAAAGCGCTATCCATTCGAACAAATCATGGAAATATATTATTCAGCAGTCAGCTTTCCAAGTACTACAATTTACTTTGCATTAATCGGCAATCTACGGATCAAACCTTTATCATTGAAGATTTTGGTATTAAGTTATGAGAACGGCGAGACTATAATTTATGGACGAGCCAATCAGATATAAGATAACGCGTCTTGAGTTTTGGCGCGAAATTCATTCACCAATTTGACCAAGTAGCGTTTTGACATCATAGCTGATGTCAATTCGTGATGAAAACCCTAAATCTAATTTCTAACCTTAATCATCAACTGTAAATCATAATTCTAATTCCTCACACTGGTTTATAATCCTCATTTAGTCCTACTTATTAGGTGGACACTCGCATGATCACTTTGGCGTCGTTCAAAGGTCATTCATAAATTATAGTCTCACCAAAAAAAATCTAAATGAAAAAATCTAAGTATTCATAAGTTTCAAATTCAATATTAATTCGATCAAAATATGAGCATTAAACACAATCTAGAACAGTTTTATATCATCAAATCGTTTACATACTTCATTACCATTCGTTTGAAAGATCCCGACATGTAAATTAGTTTGTGTTAGTATTCAATATTTAAAAAAAAATTGAATGTGAAACTCAGTAAATCATACATCATTTAAACATAATATAATACATGGTGTTGAATAACGAACGTATCGTTGTCTTTGATAATGAAATCATTCAAGTGTTTTCAAAACAAAACAAAAAAACTAGCCACATGAAAGACCATTAGGAACAGTACTGTTTAGTTCTTTTTTTGATGAATGATATAAATTGGCCTCCTTGTTTGACATTGAATTAATTTATGCTGTCTTGCGATTATTTTTTTGTTCTGAATAATAATGTTCACAATTAAGTTTTAGTAAAAGTTTTGTCAAATCTGTTTTTTTTGTTTTCCTTTTTTACAATTTAAGCATATGTATTCTGTTAAATAAGCATAGATTATGTGAAGACAAATTTTGTAAAACTAAAGTGTATTGAAACAGACAACTATTGGATAGAACTAGATAGGTAGGTCCAAGACAGAGTGGGTTGGAGAATGCTGATCAGTGGCCTATGCTCAATTGGGAGTAACAGGCATAAGTAAGTAATTTATTTAGTAAGTGAAATGTATTGATCTGAATTTATATTGTTTGTAGATATTATACAAGATGGTTTATTAATAAGATAAAATACGTTACAATTCGGCAAGCCTATGTTAAGTTGATGCCTAATCTTGTTGTGAAGATGGAAGAACTAAGGGCATTACAATAAACATTAAGATGCATTAAATCTACAATTCTGAAGAATATGAAACTGAATGTGATACATACTATTTAATCGTATTAGTATGTTCTTGCATTAGTATCATGGATATTAGAAAGATGTTTGAAGTCATGAACTGAAATGAAGCCTTAAATGTCTGACACGTATTTAGCTGTAATAAACAGTTTATAGCATCAACATTTAAATAGCCACTAAGTACTTATCGGTACTTATAGTCGATGTTTATTATTTCGTTTACAAAGTATCAATGTTTACATATCATTTGGTACTAAATGCAATAAAGTTTAGTAGAAGATTCATTTCTGATGTAAACTTTAGGCTAACGTAATAACCACCTATTCTTTCATATAATTTATTTCAACAGATAGAATAAATAAGGTTTCTAAATCAGTATTTGTTGAAACAATAAATAATTTAGATTTGAGAACGTAAAACATACTTGGTATAGGCATCTGTAATAAATTCAATGCATATATAAGCAATCCATCAAGTGTTCCACAGCGTATCGTAGGTTCTGGTACGCTCACAGACTAAAAATATTATGAAAATAGTGAAAATATGTTATTTATTATGAGTTTAGTGTTCTGTTGACGTGAATTAAACCACTTTACACTCGGTGGTATTAGAAAACTATTGAAATTAGGTACATTATTTTAAAGCTTGAAAGTTGGTAGAAATTGCGTTGAGTCTATCAAGCTGTGATTGAAACACCTATTTTCTGATAGTAATAGGCGTAAGTTGTATTTTATTTTATGCACTTTCTTTAAACTTTTGATTTCTATTTTTTAACGATAGACGAATGAATATCAGGTTTTCATGGGTTATCAGAATGGGTTTTGTGGAGAGTTTTAGAAATTTCACAGGTTGAAATCATGAGTCAATTGAAGCTAGACCATCATGGATCGTGGATGCCCACTGCTGAGGATTCCCATACTAGGACGAAACGGCCGTCTAGTGCTTCCAGGTTTTCCATGGTGGTCTAGCTTCAATTGACTCATGATTTCAACCTGTGAAATTTTCATGGTTTATTGAAACTCAAATAGTTTAAGTACATGTTCAATTAAATTAATGATTCATGTAAAATGTTTCTTCCTGTATACGTGTTTTCACATACACCGGTAAAATGATAAACATAATAGAAAACGATCTGTGTCTTCATTCTGTTCGAACTTACGGTGATGCGTGGATTTTGTTATTTCAAGTTTGATAAACATAGATCTATAAAAGGTTTAATCGATCAATTTAAGCTTTCATCTCAAATATATTTCAATCTCCTATGATACAAAAAATATTTTTAAAAGTATAAACGAAAAGTAGTTTTTAGTATTTCAAGGCCCCTCTAATGGTACATGAATTGTAATTGTTTTCCAATGTTTCATTTTATAACTACATTTTGCTTCGTTTTCGTCGATGTGACTGATTCTATTTACTGCGTATTTAGTATATCTTGTTTTTATTTAATTGGACAGTAATTGTGACAACTGTGATACTGTTTTGTTCAAGCAAACTTATTAGAAAAAGAATATATGAACAAACCATTTTCTCTGATGATGATAAATATACCAAATAAAGAAGGCTGTCTAGTTTATCTGCTCTTCATCTTAAAGACCTATGTGATTTTGAATTGTATTTCACTTCTTTTGATCTTATTTCCTGAATAATCGCATATTACAATGAATAGAATATACGATTTTATAAAATTGTATTGGATTAATACGATGCAGTTATACTACTTAAACGGACTATGAAAACTTATTACTTTGTTTAGTAACTACATTTCGTCTAAATACATGCTTCATACTTTTGATGAACTGATTGTTGAAATACTATTTATAATCAAAGTATCCTTAGTACAAAACACTGCGGCTTTGGGTAGAAAATCAGTTTCATATATAGGTTACTCAACACTTGTCATCTAAACTCGTCTATTATTTTGTGATGTGACTGACGTTCTATATGTTATTAGAAACGTTATCATTCAATGTCATAACTAAAAACGTTACCATTAAGTTACAAGAGGAAAGATTGGCTGAGGTGTTTATAGTAATTAATTATTTAGCAGTTTCCATGATTTTACAATTTAGATCTTAGTGATAAATAAATCTTCATATTTTTTTATTATTAATAATATTGTCTCAAAACCCTTCATCAACTTTGTATAACTTTGTATGGTTTTCAGAAATTTAATCGATACTAAGGCTTGGAAAAAATGACATTTAGTGATGAGTGCATAATTAGTTTCGAAAGTGGTTCACGAATATGAAGACTGGTATAAACTACCACATTTGCTTAAAAATACATTTCACTTACCGACGGTGAATGTTTTGGTGTATTTGTTTTTGTAGGAGTATTGCTATTATTATCCTTATAAATGGGATTGAATATTAACTGTGATTCAGGATCTTTTGTTCTCAATGACGCTGGGCACCATGAGTTTGCTGTTACCAGAACACGAGTCTCATCAAGGTCATTAGATTTAGTCGAAATATTTTGTTTAACATCATCATTATCGTGTGGATCACGTATAGGTTTACCCAACAGAATTGTTGCAGCAGCCGCGGATGGACAAATCGATTGTAACAATTGTAGGCGATCATTTGAACACTGAATAAACTTTGCAGATGTTAACTGAATATTATCGTCTGGTTTCATTTCATACCTGGTAATATTTCATGATACATATATAATGAGCTAATATCATTTTTATGATCGTTAGAAAATGATAGAACAAACAAAGAATTGTGTTAATTCGGTCAATATTCTACCATGACTGTATGGTAACTTTAGAGATTATTACGAGGTAACGAACAATACGTAGATGGTATTATGATTGGTAAGTTTACGTTAATGTAGTAAAAAGTCATAAATCTATTTGAAAAATTTCAGCACAAAATCTGAAGTTTTATAACGGTGTTTTTTAACAATACACACTTTCATTGCAAACGTTGAAAGATATATGAAAACACTTGTTGCCACAGCGATTATCTCTTACTAATCTGAAACAAAACTAATTTCAACCCATTGTATTATTTACAGAGGTTTTATTCACGAGGTGATCTATTCTGGTTAAGAGAGCCACGTGTACCTGAATTTTTCTTTACATACATACATTCTAATATACTTGGGTTTTTTCGAACAAAATAGAATGAGCAAAAGAAACCTTCCATTTTTTGAAGTATACACTTTTAGGTTTCTCAGCACTTTAAATCCTGATAGATTGCAAGCCTTAAAAATTGTCATGTGAATAAAAAAAGCAATTGATATGTATAGCTAGTCAGTTAATACAAAACTTAAGTAAGAAACTAAACTGCAATATTTGAAAAGCTGAAAATTAGTTTATCCAGAGAAATAAACTGGTCACAGCATGCTGTAAAATAATATGACTGAACTAAAAAACATTGTTAAAACCACTGATTCTGATATACGTACATATTGCGTTTTGCACACACATACACATGATCAAAATGCTTCGAATTTTAACATAGACATTTCCAATTTTATTTTCACTCATAATTAATTTAGTTCAATCTAACCCGATATGAATAATGTAAAAAATAAAGGCTCTTGTAAACATAAGATGGTGGTTGAAGGTAGTCAACAGGAAACCCTGGATCCGGGTTTCGTGCTATTTGCCACTCGTCAACTAGGTGTACCTGTAATCTTGAGGGAACTGGTACTCCCTGACGGATTCGATTCCATGTCACCCAGCTTCACAGTAAGAGACGTTACCACTGGGCTTCTGTAGACAGTAATCTTGTAAACACTCACATAGAGATGATGAATTATATAATCGTGGACTAGATTTATTCCCAGCATATAAAGTAAGAAAGTCAGGTAATATTTGTCACCTCAGAAATGAGAGGTTCAATCAACATATCAGTACTAATATCGGGAATATAAAAAGTTCTGGAGATTTTTTTAAAAAATGTTGCACCATAATTTTTCCTTTAGTTTTTAAAAAGAAATACTAACAACAAAATGGAATAAATCACTAATAGATCATCTAAATCTATAAAACATTTCTCCCCTTAACAACAAACAGGTCACAATAATCCCATTTTATTTTACTAATTTATATCATTCAAAAGTATTCAGTTAATGTAATCACTATACATTGAACTATTTCAATATTAAATTTCTTATATAAAACTGTCATTATTTCACAAAATAAACCCATATAAACAAAATCAATAATTTTGAGTATTATACTTCATTAATGATAAATGAGATATGTTACTATTTTTAGCATGAAACAATCAATTCTAATGATTATTATTTGTTTTAATTCAATCGAGCATGTATTATTTTCTATTTTGTAAAAATTTTAATTGATAAAACCGTAAAAGTATTTGATTGAATTGAATTGATCCCATTTATTAAAACAATTAATTTTGATATAGTGAAAATTCCCATTTTGCCATTTGGTAAATAAAAAAGGAACGAATTGAGCGAAGAAATTTCTTTTCAATTAGTTTTTCATCATGGCTCTACACTAATATATATATATATATTTTACAATAATAATATAATACTCATCGAGTAGATACGTTACGTAATAATTACATAATGACATTTAAATTAACATTCAGTAATTGGAAGAAAGAGAAGTCCCATATGAGGAGTCCCATACTAGGACGAAACGGCCGTCCAGTGCTTCCAGGTTTTCAATGGTGGTCTAGCTTCAACTGACTCATGATTTCTATCTGAGAAAGAGAATTATTAATATTCAAAGTAATCAAGAAGTTGCTATGTTGCGTAATATAAGAAATAAAGAAGGAACAGAATTTTAACGGATGGTCAATAGGATGGTAGTTACGTAAGAATCAAGAGATGAATGTTGAGAAGTTATTAAGTTCAAAAGCAACAGAAATAAAATTACGAAAGTTAAAAAAAACAAATGGAAGAAGTATGAAAAATAGTTCTTTTGAAGGAAATCTTAAACTGATGGCCAGGGCAGGGAAAGTGGTTGTACGAATCTCTTTTGGATGCAAATGTCAGGTTTGTGAACATGGATTGCGATGGCTTTCGCAATGTGCAAGAGGCGCACTCGTAAACCATGTGGCAAATTAGATGGGATATCGTAAATAACCTTAAAAGCTTTATTCAATTCGACTTGATGACCTGTGTCAACCAAGTGAGAGAGAATAGAACTTTTAATCACTTTTACCTGTCCTTTGTTTAACCACAATTAATTTTGTTTATTTTTGAATGAGAATTGAATTTGAGATTATATCAATAATCAGTTGTTAGTATCTCTTAAAAATTCTATTGTTTATTGAAGATCATATATTTGTAGTTGATTTAAATAATCTGTAAACCTATTGTCGTTTATTACCAAAAATTACAGTATTATTAAAAAGGGTGGTGGAATACAGAACAAGTGTTTTGTTCTGTTTGAGACTCTTCATCTGGATGTTCTTTCATTTATCTCAATAACTAGTGTTCACTGAGGGGTTCGGACTCAGTACTTTGTGCTTCAAATGATAATACCTTGTTTACTTAACTACTGAATTCATATAGTTGATCACCTGCTGTTAGCTATATTTCGCACAGGATACATATTTTTCAACTAAGATTGACCAAATTTCAACAGGATAATCTAAACCATGAAAAATAGATTAAAAGTTATAGTAGTTCTTGTAATCAGCTTGCCGAATTAGCGAAAGATAATGACTCGATTAGGTTAAGAGACTAATGTTGTGAAACGTCATGTGAGTATATTCAAGAGAGTTAGATTCATCAATAGAGTCTAAAATAGAAGTTTTTTTAGTCATAACAACCTTTGACAACAACGTTAAGCCTGTAACATAAGACTGTATGTCCGTTCAAAATGTCAAAAAATCGGTAACTTACTTGGTTAACTGTTCACTATCAAATACACATGGATCAGTAAGATGTATTGGAGTCGAGCTAAAGGGATGTTCCTCTTGTTCACACCCTTTACCTAGGAGATTTTCATCTAGTCCACTTAGAGTATCTCCTTTCTTCTTTTCGCCGCTTCGATTAAGCTGATTACAAAAAGGAAAGAATATTTTTGATGAAAGTGATGAATAATGGCAATGTTAATATTATTTACTAACTACTATGTATTGGCATAATCTTTCTCATCAGTGACCATAGGCGAAAATTGAATATGATCAAACTGCTATTGTATACCATGGTAAAATAATTTCATTTGAAGAATCTTGGAGATATCAAGTGACAGAATTATTACATATTGACCAAATGGCATGTTATGAATACAGCAGACTAACATGTGAGTTGCTTACATATGATTTAAATCCCAATTTCCTTGAGAAAGACAGATATATTGTTCACTGATTGTCACAACTAATTACTGAATACTTTATATGAGTACATATTTCTTATTTATAGTACTTAGATTCATTGCCAATATATAAAACGAACTACTTAATTTTCTATTCAGTCCCTATACTATTGAAGTGGCTGTGCTTCGTTAACAAATCAACCTAGTAACCGTTACCACATAAACCTCAAGAGTGTTGGAAGGCAAAGATAAGCAGCGACTACAGTTTTATTAGCAGATGACTCAGACCACAAAGCAGAGAGGCAAATGAGTGAGTCAACGAACTGAGAGTATAGAGTGTTAAATATATATATATATATATATATATATATATATATATATATATATATATATATATATATATATATATATATATATATATATATATATAGGGAAATGAATGGATCATCGAATCAATTAGGCAGCTAATAATATAAAGCTAGCAGAATGAATACATGCATAGACGGTAAGCTATGTTCAAGCATACATAATTCATACAAGCACAACAATGATAAATGTACAATAAGTTGTAATAGTAAGGATGACTTTGTCCGCTAAATAAGTTAACAAAAGGGCTTAACCGGGTTAAATGAGAGCAAACTCAGTTGCACGTGAGTTGCTATACCATATCATTATCATCTTTATTGAGAATATTCTGTAGCCAAAATAGAGCATCTTATTGTTTCTTTGATCTTTAGTTAACCTTGTGGAGCAATGTTTAATGACCCGAAATATGACTCCAGTTCGATCGTATGAACGATTTTTTGTGAAAATATACATATCGCTAATTCTCATATGAAATTATCGAATTAAATCGCGTTAGTGAATAACGGAATTAAATAAGTTAGACGTGAGAATGGATTTCGGATACGTGTATTTCGTTCAATCGTTGATCGGTAAGCGAAACAAAACTAAGTGACACGCAATGGAGGAAGCGAGTACGCCAACACGATTTAATCAAGCATTAATCGATATTTATAGTCAGATGAAAATAAATTACAAATATGTAATCAGTAGGATAAGCAATGCACAGAAATATGCTTATATAAAACTACCAAGGTTGATATGCGAATAATTACCGATGTCGAAATATGACTCAAGAAGAATGAATAAGTTGGCCTGTCCGGTAGCTTTGTTGGCTTGACATAGCAACCGATACTACAGATGTTCCGAAACAAAATAATGTCTTTATGTAGTTAAAATGACAAGCACTATTGGAAGTAGAATAAAATAGGCAATTTATCATTATGTTGTGAATTTACTGTTGGCTTGTTGAAGAGAGAGATAATCTTACTATATGAAATTTATGTCCTACTACTCTCCATATACATAGAATGACTATTTTGACAGTTACATCACTTTTAAAATATAATTTTGGAAGCAAAGGTCTGTTCAGCATCGTCAGTAGTTTTAATTCTAGTTTTTGTTCTTGATACATGTTTGATTTAGGATTATGATAAGTATTCGTGTTTACTAAGTAAATTATGAATAAGTCGTATTTCTTCTTCAAGAGTGTGATTAGAACAGATAATTTCGGTTCTTTGGGCCAAGCATTTGAATAATTTTCTCTTATGTTGTAACGAGATAAAGCTCAAAATATATGTGCATTGACTTTGTGTAGTTAGTTTCTCATTATCACTTTTTGATGTTCCACCAGGTTTTATCATCAATTCAAAATCCATTTATCTTGGTGGTGAAACAGACATCTAGGAAAACACTAGATAATTTCCAAGCTATAACATGAAGTGGTTGGAGTTGGAAATACGAACTACTAAATTTCCAATTTGTGTTTCAGAGAAGATAAATGCTCTCCGTATGATCTGAAGGTTTAAGATTAGAAATCTGTTAAGTTCGGCTTTAGGGACTAAACAACTGTCTATGGATTTCATAACTTTAAGTTCTCCAGATGAAGTTACTCCATGAAATAAATGAAAAATTAAATAAAGTATTAAATATTCCTGTAAAGAAGTTAAATTTTATACTGGAAAAACTAATAAAACTTAACGAATGGAATTAGAATATTTAGCTTACATAAAATATACATACCTGACGAACTAGTCTTGTTTGTTGTACATAAGTACTCCTATGCAATGCTTTACCACTAGCTGAACTATGTTGTGTAAATCTTTGCAAACAAGCAACTGTACGACCACGGACATAAGCTCCTTGAAACTTTTCTATATTTTCTAAACCAACTTCTTCATGATGCCATTCGGGTGCAGTAGGAATAACGGTACCATTTAAATTTGAATTATTCTCAATAGACGAATTCAAAAATACAGGTAAACGTGGATCTAAAACTGGCTGTTGATCATCCCAAACACCAAATTTATACATGTAACCCATTACTAAATTTAAAATATATTAGTATAAAGTAAAGAAAATTGATCATTCTATATTTACTGAGAAATTAGTTTAGTACGTTTAATTTAACCTATCACTGAATTATAAACTACAATATTACTTGAGTTAATGATAACTAATTAGATATGTTCCATTTGTACACTCTAAACTTTATACATTACGACTACACGGTTACTGCTTCAGTGAACTTATGCTTTGTTCTAAATTAAACTAATAACGTGAGTATATTATGCTTAGGTTAGGTTAACCATTAATCGGTAGTTTTCGTATATTCTCATGTCATATGAGATGCCAAAAGTGCATTTATTTATGTTGTTCATGATCAAAGGACATTTACTAGGAGTTACTTAATTTAGCAACTCGATTACTTGTTATTTCTATAATCAATAAGCTGTTATAATTTATATAAAATTGAACATAAGTATAATATACTGTGACCTTGGGAGACTTATCAGCCAATGAAGAAACATTTCGTAGTTATAAACCAATTGTCAATAAATAGTCATAAAATAACAGGATAATAACTCCTTTAATCTTAAAGATTACTACCCACATGCCAAATTATTATTTGTAGTAAGGGTAAAAGGTCAAGTTTACGTATTAATAGTCGAGATAGTCTAGCTTCAACTGACTCATGATTTCAATCTGTGAAGTAGTATTTTGAGTTAGAGTTATCACCCCACTGAGTTCTCGTCACCAACTGACATCGGTTTTGTGTTGGACATACGAATTAGTACTGAGTTTTTCATCACATACTGATATCAGTTATAATCTAATGTTTTACCATCCTTCTATTTGCCAACTTAAAAAAACTTAGAGTCGAGATTTAGAGGAAGAGTTAGAAAGGAAGAATATTATCTAGCATCACTAAATATTCTTTATAACTCATTGAATCACATTAAGCACTATGACAAACAATTTGCCTTGTGAGCACATACTTTTTTTATTTATTTTAGTTTGAGCACTATCTTAAATTCACGTTCTGGTTGACTGATTTCCACAATTCTAAAAATTAATTTTTGTCAATTTTCATCTAATTAATAATAATATACAAGTGAGATATCATTACACTTAAAATTTTGCACAAGATACACAAACACTTATCTTAATCCTGATTGGTCAACTCAAGGCCATCAGTATATCATACTTGTAAATTAAATATATTTTGTGCAAGTGAATGTTCGTACAAAAATAAATTTGCTTGTTAATCTCACATAAATGTAAATCTAATTCATAAATTAATTTATACTATTCATGTTGTGAAATGTTCAAACATTTTGATGTATGTCCAATAGAAAAAAAAGTGGAATGTAATAGTTGAATTCATGAGTCAATTAAAACTAGACTACCATGAAAAACCTGGAAGCACTGGACGGTCGTTTCGTTCTTGTATAGGACGATTTATAAAGTTAGGCATCAATTAAAATATTGTTAAAATTTTTTTTAACTAATCTGTATTCTGTACTATTTATTGACAATTAACTCCGCCTGTAGCTCTTCTAGAGTTACTACCGGTCCCAAGCCCGGGTAGAGGAGGAGGGTTGGGCATGGGGTTAGCGACTCCATCCCGTAGAAAAGTAACTCACTAAAAATACGCCCACCAGAAAAAATAATTCAAACCATTTAAACTCTGCCCTGGGGATTAGGTCTTCATTTAGAAGAACTATGACGCCTCATGGTGAAAGCCAAGTTCCTTCGGAAGTTACGAGGCCACCTCATCAAGATTCCAAAGAAAGGAGGTCTGAGCAAATGTGAGAACTACAAAGGCATCACACTACTGTCAATAACAGGGAAACTCTTTAACAGAGTGTTGTTAAACCGGATGAAAGATTCTGTAGACGCCCAACTTCGAGATCAACAAGCTAGATTCCGTAAGGATCGGTTGTGCACAGACTAAATTGCGACACTACGGATCGTCGTCGAACAATCAGTTGAGTGGAACTCGTCACTGTACATCAACTTCATTGATTATGAAAAGGCATCTGACAGTGTAGATAGACTGACATTATGGAAACTTCTTCGACACTACGGAGTTCCTAGGAAGATTGTCAATATTATCCAGAACTCATACGACGGACTACAGTGCAAGGTCGTGCATGGAGGACAGCTGACAGATGCATTCCAAGTAAGGACCAAAGTCAGACAAGGCTATCTACTCTCTCCCTTCCCCTTTCTTCTGGTGGTCGACTGGATTATGAAGGCCTCGACATCTGACGGAAAACACGGAATACAATGGACAGCTCAGAATCAATTTGACGATTTGGACTTCACAGATGGCCTAGCCCTCCTACCGCATACACATGAACAAATGCAGATAAAGACAGCCAATGTATCAGCAGTCTCTGCATCAGTAAGCCTCAACGTACACAAGGGGAAAACCAAGGTCCTCAAATTCAATACGAGGAACAGCAATCCAATCACTCTTGATGGCGAAGCTCTGGAAGATGTAGAATCCTTCACATACCTGGGTAGCATAATCGATGAACAAGAAGGTTCAGATGCAGACGTAAAGGTGAGGATTGGCAAAGCAAGGGCCGCATTCCTACAATTGAAGAACATATGGAACTCAAAACAACATTCAACCAATATCAAAGTCACAATCTTCAATACGAATGTCGAGGCAGTTCTATTGTACGGAGCTAAAACTTGGAGAACTACAACAGCCACCATCAAGAAGGTACAAATATTTATAAATAGTTGTCTACGCAAGATACTCAACATCCATTGGCCGGATACCATTAGCAACAGCCTTTTGTGGGAGAGAACAAACCAGCTTCCAGCTGAAGTGGAAATTAGGAAACGACGATGGAAATGGATAGGACATACACTACGCAAATCATCAGACTGCATCACGAGACAAGCCCTGACTTCGAATCCTGAAAGGAAGCGGAAAAGTGGAAGGCCTAAGAACACATTACGTCAAGAAATAGAAGCAGATATGGAAAGGATGAATAACAACTGGAAGGAACTCGAAAGGATTGCCCAGGATAGGGTTGAATGGCGAATGTTAGTGAGCGGCTTATGTTCCTTCACAAGAAATAACAGGCGAAAGTAAGTAAGTAAAGTGTTTTCATAGTCAGTTTTTTTTAATTATTGCCATCATATTAAAAATTATATTTTATCATGTTATTAGAATAGTTGTAAACGATTTTTTCTATCAATTTCATTTCATACCTCTTTCCAATCTTAACTTCAATCACTTTTTTGGTATGATCCAGGTTTATACCTACCACTTATCGAAATTAATGTGACGATTGTTGCAAGTTTTGTCTAGAAAGAAATTTAGATTTAAGCACTTTGGTTAGTTACCATAAACAACAAATTATGTTTTTCAAAGCCTAAATATAAAATAAAATAAACAACTTCATGTGTGTAAACAAAATTTATTGCATGAAGAAATTTACTTTGCTTTGATTTTGGCTCAATGAGTTCGTGATTGTTTTTAAACTCGTCTTGTTTTGAAGTGTCTACTAATAAATCATTATTGATCGATGTACGTAATTTGTTGAGTTGATTAGCTGATTCCGTTTCTTTAGACCTTCCTGGTATTGATTTAACCAAACTTCGTGTATTTTGAATGCCAGTAGATAGAGAACGTTTAAGTGAGTTGGATAGACTGCGGACTATTTTTCGTGCTCTGGAACTAGATCTATTTACTTCAGATAGATTCGCATTTAAATGTTCCATATTATATGTTTGTTGAGTTAAAGCAATTGGATTAATAGTATCAATTAATTTGGATGAAACTTCAGTTGAAGTTGTACAATTTGAACAACTTGAATTTTCAGTGTGCTTATAATTAATCATACTACCATTAAAAGGCCTGACAACAATTGCTGGTGAAAGGCATGGTTCATCATTTTGTGTGTTATTTTTTGTATGTAAGACGGTGAGATCTAGACCAGGTCGACTTATTACTTGTCCATTAGGTGAACTAGTTGACTTAGTTGTGGACTGTTCATTTGAAACCATACTTGATACTTGTTCGTCATAATGCGGAGATCTATACTCATATTGATTTTTACTTGATAGTCGAATTTCTGTATCAGTATTACTTCCAGGAAGAAAAAACACCTATGGAAATAAATAGAGTAAAATCTCTTGATTATAGGGTTAAATTATACATGAATGATTGAGAAATTTTGATTTTTAAAATCTGTCCCATGTGCATAATAATGCTAATTTTCTGTGATGCGTAACATTTTGTAATGGTTTGAGTTTTACACTTGATATTGAATATAACAATTGATCGGTCTTCTTTGGTATATGTGAATTCGTAGCTGATTGCCTCTATATTGTCGTTAAGTCATATTGTTTTAATGGTAACATAAAAACAGTCAGCTCATAATGAGAATTCACCAAAAATTTATTGATGAAATGTAGTCCTTAATATCAACGGGAAGAACTAATCCATTACAAAAATTAATTTATTTCAGTCTCACAATGTAGGCGATGTCTGCACTCAAGCAAAAGATAATGTGGTTTGTGTTACTTAGGCTTGCAGATATAGGTCGTATGTAACATCAGCCGGAAGTGGGATGTTTGCGATCGAAATGAAGAGGAGAGAGAAGGAGACTGAAAGTAATCTAGATAAAAACACGAATGAAGTAGCAAGGAAGCTTATAAGAGACAACTTAAAGATGATGTGTAAATGATATGTTTAATGTCTGATTTTCACAATTAACTATATAATTATGTGATTGTGCTTCCAGAAAATCTTGATATTCCACACCTGTGTTCCCGTTCGCTATGTACTAGGCTCTGGTGAGAATAAGAATGTAAGCACCAATCAGTAGATACATTTAGTTGATGACTACTATATGGAACGAGATCAGTTTCCTGGATTTCACTGCCAGCTACAATCTAACTTAAAAAGCATTATTTATGAAAGTATTTATCATGCAGAAAGGTAATTATAAGATCTGACTTTTCATATTACAACTAATTTCATATGGATCAAAAATGGTTCATTTTATCAAAATATTATTTCTAAAACTCAAAAGCCACCGTATTTACTAACAATCTGGTGTTTACTGTCATTGTGCAACATAGACTTATTCGTGGTAAGTAAATTTATTCTACTACATTCCAATTCCTAAGGGATCCCTTTGTCAGATTATCGTAGTAGTAAAACTTGAAGCATGTAATAACAAAATGAACTGTATCATTATATCATATATCATTAATTGGTGACGTCATTTGTAAATGTAATTTCAATGTATTATGAGATTGAAATCAGAAAAATACTACTCTCCAGTAACGACAGATTGTCATTAAAAAAAAAGAAATTTGTTGTAGCTAAATAATCTGAAATGTAAATCTAGACATACTGAATTGGTGAATTCGAATTTGAGCAAAAAGATAATGTAGAAAATTTGTAGTTCAGGTGGATGATTCACATAGAGTTTTATTCTGTGAGCTGTATGGTTTAGTTGTGGAGCTTTCTGATAATGTTGTTCACAAGAACAATTACAGCTCCATGACCAAATCATCCACCTCAGAGAATAAAACTCCACCTAAACAAAAAGATAATATTTATGAATCGAAATCAATAATAAGCTCATGAGATTTACGAATGTTCGTAAGACAAAAATTTATCACCAACAGAATCTAATCAGTGAAGAGTTAATAAAACTAATAAAAAATATATTACAAACATCATGAAATAAATACTTAATCCTATCTGAGACAAAATATATTGGTCTCATGACGTGAACCATTTCTATTACTAACGAATTAGTTATGAAACTATGTATTAGTTTAAATAAATAATTCTCCTTTTTAACATCAAACAGTATAAGAGACTATTACAGACCAAGACAAGCTGTCTAGTAGTTATTGTCTTTTCATCAATGAGAGATACAATTTTAATGTTTAAAACCATATTAATGTAGATTTTACGAAGCAATTAAATTAAGTAACATAAATAACCCTGTATCCAACGTCAAGTAATAAAAATAACCATACTAAATAAATAACTCTATCAGTACTGTCAAAATCAAAAATAAATGTTCCCTAATACAACTTACATCTCTTGTTGTTTTTCTTTCTAAGACAATACGCCTTTGATAAACTTGTCTGTAACGCTTTCCATTAATAATAAATTCTTCAGAAACTTGTTCTTCTCTTGGACAACTTGAACTACTATTAATTGATGGTGAAATAAATTTAGAAAGTGAATTTTCATTCATTTTTTCCCGGTCTACCAACATACTACCAAAACGATTTAATTTAAATTGATCAATTTTATCATTTCCATCAGTTTGTTCATCTATATTATCATCTTCATTATGATAATCATCATCAATGTTCACTGTCGACCATCTGGAATTGGGTGAATTGTGTTGCCGATACTCATTGTCAGACGGAAGATTTATGCTACCGTATTTTGTCTATTTTGATGAAAAGTTAGAAAAAAGACAAAATGCAAGAACAATAAATATACACTTTAAATACTAAACTGAGATTTCTTTTATCTGAAAAGACATGGTTACTTAACAGCTTGATAATATTTAAATCTGATAAATAAATGCGTACAAACTAAACCATCAAATTGGTAGTTATTACTTTAGATCAACAGTTTGTGTGATGCTAAAATTTTTCCCTCAACCTTTGGGTTAAAGTTAACACCCACGAATAGAATTCAACATGATTTTAAGATTATTTATATCAGTGGTCACCATTCAAGTTCTAATATGTCCATAAATAGTAAGATTTAAATTCTTGATGTTAGTCAGTTATGAAAAGAACAGAAGTTCTTCACCGGATCTCACCAATAGCCATCGTGCAAAGATAATCACTCTGTAGATACGGACAATACTATATGCCCTGTAAAGTAACTTTTATACCAACAAAGTTTTATCAAATACTGTCCAGAATATCGGAAGCTTTCCACTCAAAAAGAAATAGATATCCCATTTGCAGATTACGTTTATCACAGATTGATAGCAATAAGGATACCACTGAAAATCAGGGAGTGCTAGACAGCTGTTTTGTCAAAACATAAGAAGAATCATCAGCCCCTCATAGCCTATAAATTAAAAACCTGACATACTTCTTCATCTAAAAAGATATCCTATTTATTAGACAAGCAATGAATTTTGTGTTAAGTAACTAGTAATAACTTGCTTAATAAAACAATGTTTGTTTTATTCGAATATCAGTATACATATCATTAATGAACTGAATATATACTTAGCTGATGAAGCCACAACAAGGTGAAACACATTCCACTCCTAGTCACTATTGAAATATGATATAACAGGTGTATAATTTATTTTAAATCTGTAATACAAAAAAAAAGGAAATTATCCAAAAAGTAAGTTTTCAATGTTTCAATCTTTAATAGTTTGTTTAACTTTCAAATTTCTTCTGTACACATAAATTGGGGTTGTATGTACGAAATCTATTCGCAGTTCTATCTTGGCACATCTCATTGACAGCGGTCACGCTGTAGATAAATCGAAATCATTTCGTGTTATCTATCGTATACCTGCATCATTTCCCCACGGAGTTCGTTCTCGCCTCCTACATATAGCTGAAGCCATTGGAATTCGTACATATAACTTTCAAATTATTTTATATTTTTAAAGTTGAAAATTTTTTATTCATTTATATAGGTAGATACAAAAAGGATCAAATTTCTATAATGAAATTCATCTGATTTAATTTAACAATGGTTTATTTAGAATCATTTATTGATTCGATAATTTGATAAGAAACATATCGATTTTATTATTATTATTATTCTATTTTTAATGAAATATAATTAAATTAGTTACCATGTTATGAATGTAAATTATTGATTGCATAGAAATAATAATTTGTTTATTAAAAAAGAAAAAGTAGATTACAAATCTATTCATAATTATAATGTATTAAATGAATTTTAATTTAGTGTAGAATTTGTTATAATAAATCAATAAATTTAATTGGCGCTATGTTAGCAATTAAATAATGATATTTGAAATGGTTGAAAATTGGTATATATAAATTTTTGTATATAGATGTTGTTTGAATTGTTAATGTGAATCATTTAAAGAATGAAATGAAATTCATTTATTTGATTGTTTTATTCTATTTAAACAATGATTAACATACTAATAAAGTTTAGTTTTAGTAATAGAATTTTGTAGGACTACGCTAATCGAAAGTTGTTATTCATGCAAATATCAGTAGATTATAAGCAAAGATGGATAGTGGCTAGCACTCGAATCTAGGACGTGTGTTTAGTCCTATTTTGGACTCATCAACTGGATGTACTTACATTTCAGTGTTGACATTCACTTTGGGATTCGAACCCAGTACCATTCACTTCAAATGGCAATATCAGAAGGTGATATCGAGGCAATACACACAATATGCACATATGCCAATAAGAGACTGATCAATTTTAGTTCTAAACATCAATGGGAAGATTCAAGTAGACTATACCAAATGAATTTAATCAGTTGGTTGTTCCTAATATTTTATCTTGTAATTATTTTAATCTAAAGCTACACTTACATCTATAAACTCTCATATCCTGTTTAATTAATGAATAATACTGCATTTCGAGTCTACGAATTTGAACATCTAAGGTATATTAATCACGTTATCGACATGAACATCATATATCTTACTTTACATGTTGCATTATATGAACAACACTATAATCTTTCATACGAAGTTACAATATGAAATCCATTTACGTTTATATAGTTAAAACTACCAGGATTCAAGTGATTTTTAGAAACTAAACTTGTTTCATTTTGAATTGTTATGTCTTTGACTGATATAACACATTGTTAGGTCATGTTTATTAATCATTCAGTATTCTGTTTATAATTATATGTATATATTATTGAACATATCTCAAGGAATGAATTATATACAATATAACAGAGGTTAACTATTCAAATTCTCATGGTAATAACTCTGTATATATGTATCATCGTGTATGGTCGAGAAATTGTAAACAATTATTATTTAACAAGGATTGTTATAATTGACAAATAGATATATAACTTATAATTGTACTTCATACAAAATAAGCGCTATCATTCATGGGAATAAAATGATTTACCTTAAAATTCATAGTTAATTTATCATTCACATTAGAATTAATTGAATTCATTTCAGTTGTTGTATTATTATCCAACTGGATTGTATGATAATTTATTGGATTGAAATTACTGACAACAGTAGTAGCAGTAGTAGTAGTAATGGTATCTTGTGATGCAATGGTTGTTGGCACTTCTGATGATGGTAACACAATTGCATTGTCAATATAAACTGATTGCATTTCACATGTAATATTAGCAACTTCACGTTTCATTTCTTCAACTGTTGGCATTTGTACAACTAAACAACATTTGTCAACAGGTATTGACTTTAAACACTCCATAATTTCAGTTTACTTTTTGTTAGCCAGTAAACGTTTGTTTAATACAATAAATATTCCTAATCAAATAAAAGAAGAGGAAATTTTAACTAAAATTATAGGAAATAAGTTACTGTTTTATACAGTTGGGTTTCTCAATTAAATACATTTTAAGTCACAAATTACCTTCTAATAAGTATGTTATTTGTATTACCAAAAGGCTATAATAGCGTATATAAAATACGAAGGAAAATCAAATTTCTTACATTTACATAATAGACAGCTAATTAGTGCATCATGAATAAAATATATTTAAGTAATTCTCAAAACGAGTAGTATCTTGGATAGTAACTTTCCACAATACTGTCAGTTTTAGATCCTATTCATAAATGTAAAACATTGTTTAACCATGAAAATGTATATGGTACATAAGAGCACTGATAAATCTGTTAGTTTTACACATAATATTCAGTTGAATACGTCTGAAAATTATGAAACTGATAATCTTCATAATTTGAATATGTAAAAGAAAACAGATTACTTGATTTTATAAGGTATCAGTGACAGTTTATCTAAATCAATATATATATCAGTCATGTATACAAAAATCAACTTTATTGAGTCCTTGCTTTAGATTATGACGAAGATGAATTACATCTTGTATACATATGTCAATGTGTAATATGTTAAGTTGTTCAAAGGAAACTGCTTCAACGTTTAAGAAATGCCATAGTTGATCCATTTTTAAAATCTACTTTAATTCAGTTAATTCTCATGAAATTTTCACTTCATTAATCTTCCATGTAACTAAGAATGCTGATTACATCAAATATCTGGTAGGGTTAAAAAGGGTGCATATAAATTATATATTTTTAATGGCTTTAAATTCCAGATGTAAATTAATTAGAAACAACTAGATAAACGTTAACATAATGATGATCAATAAGGATGTATCACTAATGTAAAATAGTGAAAACACCTAGATACAATGTTAAACTCAACCCTAGTCCCTTTTTATACAAACGACACTTATCATATGGAATTTTTATTAATTTTACATATCAGAAGGCTTTTTGTGGATATTATAGTAATTTCAATGTGTCTCTCAATTTCATAGATCAGTTGAAGACATTAACACTATTGGATGCCGGCCGGCTCAGTGGTATAGTGGTTAAGCGCTTACGCGCGAGATTGATAGGTCCTGGGTTCAAATCTCGCGAGGCGGGATCGTGGATGTGCACTGCTGAGGAGTCCCATGATAGGACGAAACGGCCGTCTAGTGCTTTCAAGTTTTATATGATGATTTATCTTCAACTGACTCATGATCCCAACCGTTGAAATTTTATATATGTTTAACATATTGAATTATTTAAAGTTCTATTTTCTTCTGTTTATCAAAATCGTTTCAATTTTAGACTAGAGCAAAATTTTTGTATAGTTTATTATGATTCTTTGTAATAGAAATTTTGATAATTACCAAATGTGCTTCATTTAACACAGTATAGGTGAATGTATTGAAAGAAAATGGATCATTTAATTGACTTAAAATTTAAAATTTTTAGGGGTAAAATTTAAATAATTTCTGGGTATATAGTGTAACAATATGGTTATTGTTATGATTTAATTTATGTCTGTGTGCGAATGATAATGATTGGTTGTTTGCTTAGTCAGACTTGTAGATAGTCTGACAGATGTCAGATGAGTTATATATTCCCATATCCTTAATATTATCATTATTGATCATTCGTTGTTGTTGGACTATGTCGGGTTTTGGTGTGGAAATATATTTAAATTCTAGTCTGGATAATCACATGTTCTTGATTTGAGTTGTGTTGAAGTTCTGTAGAATAGTGACTGGGGGGGAATCTAGCGTAGATATTCGTCTAAGGTAAATTAACGTCCCATATGAGTAGATGAAGTAAAACCGAGCGTTATAACACTTAACTTAGTAAAGAAAATGATTTGTTAATAAGGCACAGTTTTGTATAGAATTCACTTTAGAATGAGTAAGCAATTTACATAATGTAGATATAATGTATGCTATGTAATGGCATTAATAGTTTTTTTAAAATCCATCCCAGTCGATTTGATAAAACATAAAGATATCTTCTTCATATGGCGGCTATTAGTTAAATTTCATTCTTAACTTTCAGCAATTAAACTTTCAATCAAGTCGAAAGGTGTTTCTTAATATATATATTGTGGGGGTTGGTACAATGTCAAGCCTACTTAGGATATTCTAGCCTCTGGACAGACCAATCTATTCATTCTTGTCGAGCCACATTTTTATTCTGTCACTTATTCACTCAATAACCCTGACTGCTTTTTATATGGTCGTATGTGTACTAATAACTTACCCTACTCATTGTGTCTGTAACTTATTTTTATTCGATTATGAATATCGATTCGCGCTTGGTTAAATCGACTTAGCGCATATCCTTTCTCCGATTCACTACGCTTCGCTCTCCCCTCTTTACCTCTTTCGTTTCGTCTCGTTGAATGTCTGCTAAGATTAATGACTTATTTTTATTCCGTTATTCGTTAGTGCTATTTAGGTCGACAATTATATACAAAGGAAGCAGGGATATATATTTCAATAACAAACATTCATATAATATAAATGGAGTCAGATACAGGGCCACTAATATATATAAACACTATTCATGCAATGACTACCTTCTGATTATTTTATTCTATTTTCATTTAGACGGGAAAGGTTTGTTGTGAAAGATTGTATAACTTGATAGTAAATCTGTTGAAAACTGATCTCTTTGCTGAATTTCATGTTTCTAATAGAGAAAAGGATAATAAATTATGTTTTATTTCTATTTTGCCACCTATACACTGTTAGTATTTAATACGGGGGAGTAAAAGTATTACAAATTAAGTTACTTAACACATCTAACCCTATTTTTATCGGATGGAGTTTACAGCTTTGTTTTACTTTTACTTGTTAATAAATGAACAAATGAAATTTCAACGTTTATCTTTGTAAGGAATTCATCATTAAGAATAGTTTAAATTTAACTAATTTACTTAAAGATAAGCCCATATCAGGGTTATTAAGAAGAAGCATAAACAAGAGAACTACTTGGACGGGCCAATATACAAACTTTCTCAGGTGCTTTTTCCCTTCACAACACAAAAGGAACCTCGTTAAGGTACTGCACCATAGAATCAAGACCATATGCTCTCTAGATGCGGTCGAGGATGAAACAAAGTCATTGTACACGACCTTGAAAGTTAACGGATATCCAGAGAAATTTATAAATAAAAACATAGCCAAAAAAGATAGCATAAAGAATTCCCCATATACTATATCTGACCTAATTCATATTATTCTACATATTATGTAATTTCTGATTTGTAATTACATTATTCTCCCTCTCACTCCATGTCAACCATATTTATTCTGACCATTATCTCACAATTTCATTTCGCTCATAAACTGATTCAAGTAAACACTTCATTCCAACATTAACGATGCTATTTTATTTTATAAGACAAACAATCCTTAATTCACATGTTATAATTTGAAATGATGTACTCTGCCTTAAACCTGGCCAATTTTATGGACTACTAATTTAGATACATAACTGTAGAAACTGATGAGAAATTATTGAAAAGTATATTCTACGTTTATATAATTATGTTTTAATATAATGAGAATTTTTCAGCGATTAATAGATAAGTATCTGCGATAAGACTATAATTTATGAATGACCTTTGATGGACGCTAAACTCACCTTGAGAGTGTCCACTTAATAACTAGGACCAAATGTGGGTTATAAACCTGTATGAGGAATACGAATTATCATTTACAGATGGTGGTTAAGGTTAGGAATTAGATTTCTAGTTTTCATCACGAACTGATATTAGCTATAATGCCAAAACTTTATTTAACCAAATAGATGAGTGAATTTCGTGCCAAAATCCATAAATTATAGTCTCGCCGTATCCTACATATGTTACTAATGTATGTAAGCATATAGTTCAAAGTTATTTATTTAATAAAAATCTGTTATATTCTATGAATATTCTATGAATTTATAAGTGGATTCATTTTGGATCAGTGTACACTATAGAATTGTCAACTGAATGGATACCTGAAATACACAAGCAGTATGTATGTATCAATTTTTTCTTTTTGTGACACTAGGTATCAATTATGTTTTTAGGAACTAGTTTAGGCAATTCACTTTTAAATAAAAGAATCATTGTTAAATGATTTTTTTCTATTGAATTGAAATAATCAAGATTAAGATTTTCTTTCCATATCTGTTACTTGTACTATGAGGTATTCAATTAATGTAAGAGATTTCATTATTGTGAATTTGATATGGTACACAATGAATTGTTAATATATCATAAGAGCTATCAATTATACATTTATTTAAAGTAACCAACTATCATGATTACTTGCAAACTGTTCTGTACAAATATATAATTGTTGTCAAGGTATGATAACATATAACAGCTAATTAGTATTATTAATTATTGATTAATTAGATTGCCGACTATAGTAAGAATCGAGGGTCGAACTTTGACGCTGACAGTCTCTCTCCCAACATATCACATTTAATAGTTCAAGTTTAAAAAGAACCATGATTTCATGAACCAAAGTATAGCATTCAGTAAACGTCTTCATATTGATTTTATTGTTTATCTCTATACATTACAAAAACTTAAAATACACTATAACAGTTTGATATATTTCTATCCCCAGTAAGATATATACTTCGGTTGTCAAACGATATTTATGAAGCTCTGAATAATCCATGTGTTGCGTTCGACTGACGAGATAGATTCCAAATGTTATGAAGTCATAAATAATCTCGAAAGATTTTCTAGTTCTCCTCAACCCAGTAACTGGATTTCTAGCTGACCTCAGTAAGGGGATTAAATTCAGTTTTGTGAAGTATTTAATTATCAGAAATTAAAACAAATAAAACATAATAAATCTTTTCATTGTGCTGAGTTTAAATAGCCTAATTGGAGCTACTTGAACTATAAGTTTTAACTGTATTGTTGTTATTTACACTCGTTTTTTGGTGAAATATGATGGTTTATAAAGACGAGC